TATAACACACACACACCATTTAGTACCTTTTTAAAATAATTTCCAAAATAAACAATACAAAAAATCTAGAGCTGCAACTAACGATTATTTTAATAATTGATTAATCTGTTGAAAAAAAAATAATTACTTTTACTACAAAAAAAGCTCATCCCTGAGCGGTTATAATAATAAAAATAATAAAATAAAAAAAACTTTAGTTTTGTCCTGTTTTCAATCCAAATATCTTAAAACTTTTTAATCAAGATACATACTAGACACATGAAATAGCATGTTTTAAGCAAACAATCACTTAATTTTGAGGTGTTTTTTCTTCTTCTTCAGAAAACAAGTTAAATTATTTGTGAATTGGGTAAGAAAAATAATCTTAATGAGATATAATCTCAAACAGAAGTTTTACCAGTTCACATAAACATGTAAGTGATTATGATCTATAGCGTGAGTTGGTCGTTGCCATGTTTACATGAGGCCGCACGTTTGCCTCATTCATAAAAGCCGAACACGCAGGATTCAGCACATAAATTCCCCAGATACTCCCCAAATGCATGCAAGTAAAAGGGCTGCTGAACTTAGAGAAGAGTAGATTCGAACTTTATAGTTACTATGTTTCACTATGTGTAATGTGTATCTGATATGAATAAAACACATCAGCAAATTATATTTGAATAGATTGTTAGACTTCCTTGTGTTTTACAAACTCTGAATGTTTTGTTTTACTAGTGCGTGTGTGTATTTACTCAATTATTAAGGTCTACACTTACTCCACACCTAAACCCTATCATCACCGTTATTAACCTCCACACCTACCCCAAACGTAAACCCAACCATCACAGTTATTAATAATGTACAGCCGCGAGTTGCGGAGGCTTTCATACCTGATGCGCTTGCCATTGTAGTGTTATTTGCAACACTAAGCAGGCTAACCGTCATATCAAAACAGACAAAGAAGTCGAGATGTTGAAGCAGAGCTGCGGCCTTCAGAAAGCAGTAAATTATATTCCTGCAGCCGACTGTTTTTATCATTATTAATCAAACCACAAAAGACAAGGACAAAATCCCCCACTGCTCTTGACTAAAGGACTTTTGTAGCTTTAATAGGAAACAAATCAAGTTTAATTCTTACAGTGAAGATGCTTAAACCACAGTTTGTTTCAGTCGTATATTTCTTATTCTACTGTATTTAAGAAATGTGAAATTCTTTGAAATGTATAGATGTGCTACCAACCCTATTTACAGTGGGAAAAATATTGACATGTCTAAAACCTTTTGGTCATTTGGGCCACTTAAAATCGTTAAGACCAAAATAACTGTGATTTTGATTCCTATATCAAGCAGCCCCTCATTTTAGACAGGAGCACAATAAGTAAATGAAATAAAAGTGGCACCTTGTGCATTACAATCTTTCGTTGTGTTGGCTCGGCCACATCGATCATCTTCTGCACAACATAGTTTGCGTACTGGTCCTTCATCATGGTGTATAAGGCACTGTGTGGCCCGTCCGCCATACTGCACACCTCATCGATCAGCATGGCCCGTTCGGCACGCAGAGAGTGGGTCACACACTTCTCCACCACATTACTGACACACACAAAAATGCACATGTTATACATTGTTAATTGACCACAAATTTGAAAGTGTGCACAACAATGGTGCTCAGAGTGATTAGAAAAGATAAATATAATAATTTTGCTTGACTAACATGAGATGACAATGATGTGACTTGAGTCTTTAGCCCCTTTTACACATACAGACCTTTCCGGAAAATTACCTGAAATTTTCCGGAAAGGTCTGTATATGTGAACAGGCCCTTTTTGAAAATACAGGTAAATTAATTCCGGCAATTTTCCGGAAAAAGAAGTTGTAACTTTACCGGTAATTTACCGAAATGCTTTGCTGTGTAAACGCAGAAGGAAGATTGCCGGAAAGAGCGCGTTCACGTCTATAACGTGCTGACGTAAGACGTCTACTTTAGCCAATCAGAACACTCAGACGCATTCACATCCGCATGGTTTGTGAGAATAAAAGCCTGTGAGTGTTTTCCCAGACACATTTAGCAGATAGATTTTAGTCAGATAACGTTTATATGTTTTTTTATTGATGCCACAACATGGTGTGGAACATTTTTGTTCTAAAATGCCATTTTAACGCTAAGACGTATTGATGTAAACGGGGCCTGAGTGTGTATTTTTCATGAATGGGTTTGCAACGGGGGTGGGCGGAGGATCGGCGATACAGTGTTATCTATCCGCTTGTTAAGTGGTGACGTGTTTGTGACATATGTAATACTGTATGCTGTTTCTGGGTCCAAGCCGCCATTCATTTGAGTGGAGAAATCATTCGTTTATGATCACGTTTTATTCATATCACACATTAAAGTAAATTTTACATAAAGTCAGAGTGTACACAACAATCTCTGGGCTTGCTTCATAACAAATGCCAAAAATTTTACAATTTATAAAAAAAATGAATCACTTTCTGGCCATTGTATATTAGGCATGGACATATATATGATCGTGATTTTCGAAAGAATTCACTCGCTTTGTAAACTTTGTTTATTATTGCCATTTCTTGAGTCTCCCTATTCAGTTGAAGAGCGCTTGGACCCGGAAGCCGCTTCACGTGACGTCAGACATAACAAGCGGATTGGCCATTGTCAATGGCATCATGTATCGGCCCTACCCTAATATGCATTTTTTTCTCATCTTTTTTTGTCAACAATATTGCACGCCCTTCATTTGGTAAAGTTATGGATTCTCAATTTGCATGCAATATTGTTGACAAAGGAAGACAAAACAATAATGCATTTCATAACATCTATATATTCAAAGTATCTTTATATCTTGTAAAATAAAACTAAGTATAATGTCTATAGTAAATATAGAGCATTGCAAGCTTTCATGCTTTTCAATCTCAGGTTCTGTCTCCAAAGTACAGGAGAAGAAAGCACAGATGAGCTTAAATCAAATAAGCAGGAGTTCAGCAATCTTCGCTGAAATATTTTGCTCAAACTGAATTTCAGCAAGCTGTTTGCAGCAAACTAATAAATCACAACCACACTGACAATAGTGGATGCCAAATAAATGCACTAATGTAACCTCTGTGGCACAATGTGAAGAGTTTTTGTTGTTTTACAACAGACACAAATATAATAAGGAATTACTATTAGTAACACCACTTGATTTAGCTTTTTTCTTTTCTTCATCTTTTATTTCATTGTGTTATTAACATAACCTAGAAGAGGTGAATATGTATATTTAACCTTTTCTTGATTCATTCTCATCTGTCCAAATACATAATTCTTTTGAAACGACAACCATCATCTCCAATCAAAATAAAAATGGAGTAAAATAAATAACATTAAAATAGCATTAAAAATTGTGCCAGTATAAACTGACATGTCTGAAAAAATTTAATAAATAAAACTTACAAAAAAGCAGTTTATTCCTATTTAGCCTTAGGCCTGTGTTCAAAATATAATATAATTTTTTTTTTTAATAAATATTAATATATAGCGCGTGCTCCCGTTTACTTGAAGCAACCGTGCCTAGAGGAAGCGCAACTGGTGCGATCAGTTCCCTTTGAAATAGACTGGATGCGTGATCATCCTTTCATTATCAAACACGCTATGCATCACCTGCTTTCTTTTGCTTGCAGTTATTTTTGTTAATATGGTTTAATTATATTTTTTTACAATAACTGTGTGTTAATGGGAGATTACTCCCCTTTTATGTGTAGTTAATTGGTGATCTGGGACTTTTAGCCAGGACAGTTGCATATTTTAGATACATGACAGTAAATCTTTTTTAAATGTAATGTTTTTTTTAAAGAAAAGTTTTGTTGGACTACAAAGTGCACCTATAAAGCTAAAATTTCCTTGTTTTAACACATTAAAACATTGTGGCTAAGAAATACTAGGTGTGGTCAGAGATAAATTTGGTAAATCCTTAATTTTGAGTCCTGAAAAGTCATGTAAATTAAAAAAAGTTTGCATTGCGACAACCCATTTGCTTATGCACACTGACCAAGCTTATACACAAAACACAAGAAGTTCAATGAGAAGGCATGTGGACATAACACAACACCTAAATTAAGCTTATTTATTTATTTATTTATTTATTATTTGTTTACTTTAAAATTCATATTTCATTATTTACTTTTTGTTATTTTATTTATATGTAAAAAAAAAATCTATATATAAATAAATAGTAATTTCTGCAATAATTCAATCTTGCTATGGCTGGAAATTGAATAAACCTCAAACCTACAAAATAATAAAAGAATAAAATAAAAGCACCACCACAGAAAGACTCTTCGTTCAGATGTCTGTTCTAATTCTCTACAACTTATGAAAACATCTTCGCGTCTATCTTTGAATTCTCTCACCCAGTACACGTGCATACCTGACCTGCACATAAAAACCAAAGTATACTTCAGGTATCAGTGGAGTCTTCCTGCCTGCTGGCCTTTGTGTGGCGGTTTATCAAGCATGCATGAACGCTCCGTGCGCACCTGGCAAACTTATGCTGGCTGAGCCCCAAAACATTTCCTCGGATTTCAGATACAATCTTGCTCTTGTCCTCAGCGCGGCCGTGCTCCAACACGTGCTGGATTACATAATTCCCATACTGATCCTATACGGGAAGCAGAAGAGCAGAGGTCTGGATGAGAGGGATGCACGAGACCCTGGGTTAGAGCAGATAAAGCGCTGGGTCATCCATTACCTGCACCAGCTGCTCGGTGTGCTGATGGATTTCCTCCAGGATGGATAAAGTCTGCTCGGGCAGGCAGTGCTCCAGAATACGCTGGATCACCCGACAGCCATATGGGTGTGTGGACAGAGCAAACACCTGCACAACATACACACACACACATACACAGTTATTAGTTAAACATACACTCGAGAGAGAGGGTTTTAAATATACTTTAAAACATGCCACTCAAGACTAAGGTTAGTTTAGCAAACCAAAGCTAAAATAAAAAATCTGCGCACACCTGGACACTTTTCACTGACATTAAACATCTTGTGACTAAACAAAGGGTGCCAATTGTGATCATTAGGGGGTGTGATGGATCACGGTTGATCCGTCATTCGTACAGATCACAACGCACAGTTTGGAACACACATGACCCGCGGATTAATACTTTTTTTTACTGGTAGACTAATCCTAAATTTGTAATGATCACAGAGAGATCGCCTATTGCGTCATTCCAATCACATGCATGAAAGCATTTAGGGTTTCCTGTAAAATATGATGACGGAAGTTATGGTGGGTTATAGAGGATGTGGTGGGCTTCTTAGGTTATTAAATGTGATTTGTCACAACTTGTGTAGCCTGTATTAATGCATTCAATATAAGCTGCACGATTAATCATTAAAATCAACACCCTCTCAACCCCCAAGCAACAAATTATAAATGATGGTGATTTGCTAATGTTTATTAATCCTTCGAATCGCTGCATTCAAATCTGTGTTTGAAAAGCGCAAATCAGGAAAGAGATTCAGCCTTCCGTCATTCGAGTTCGTTATGAAGTTACAAAGTCAAAATGGCAGGCGCAAAAAACATCTTCAAACTATGCCGCTCCAGGCTATTGCCACAATACTGGGATTTCTAGCTTTGATATGATACTAAGGAAAACAGCAATATTCGATACCATTTGTGATATTGCAAGGCAAGGCTGCATATTATAACGTTCAGCATCAATATCACAACTTGTGAATTTGCAATAGTCACTGGAGTTGTGAACCTATACTGGTCTCATGGTTCGGTTATGATTATCATGCCATCAATTCGGTTCAATTCGATATCTCGGTGCATCATAGTGCATTGACAATGATTTCCATACACAGTGTTATATTTTGGGGGGAGGCTATAACAAGCTGTCTGTATAAACACACAGACACACAACACCACACTGTCTCTCATTCACACACATACACAAACATAGACAGCACCAAACAAACACACACACACACTTAAGCCCTCGCAATATGCGTTTAGATGGGAGATAAACACATATTGATAGGGCTTTAATGGAGCAGTAGTCGTAATGTCGAGCGAGAAAAAAAAAAAAAAAAGAAATGAAAAAGTAGAAGACAGCTGTGAAACATAACCAGCGTTGTCTTTTTGTAGAACACACACTTCAGATCTTTTTCGGGTAAGGGGTTTTTGAGTTATTGCTGCTATAACTGAATGTGCCTGTAATATCAAAAACAAAACTAACTTAACGCTTATGTCTGGCGCCCCCCTGGATGTACAGCGCCCTTAGCATTTGCCTATACTGCCTATGCCACAGGCTGGCAGAGTATTGTAAATACCCACGCTCACCTCCCTCGCAACATAGCGCATAGAAGATAAATGACGACAGTACATAATAACTGGTTGTGATTATTACTGAATCGATACCGAATTGTCCGCGTCTGCATCGCGGTGCACCAAAGAAACAATTAATTTTGATACCCCTTATAGTCACATTTCAGGATCTACAGCATTAAGATTATTGATTGACCAGAAACCATGAGTAAAAACACTGCCGAATTTAAATATAACAAACCTTAAATTCATATAGAAAATAGAATTAATATGGATTCAATAGAAAGTTTAATATCTGCATGTTTTTAAGGAGTTTAAATAATTGTATAGAAGTTATGAAGATAAAAATGGAGTTATTGACATGAAGACTTTACAGTGTTATTTTACACTTTATTATTCAATTTCTGTACCTGAACAAAGTTAGACTCTCCCCAGAAAACCAAGCACTGTTTATTTAACTATATTATTTGCTCCACTGTGTTTAAGTCTGTGTTTTATTATATGTATATTATAAGATATTTATATTTCACTCCCCTACAAAACCATTGCAATCAAATTGAATGACTTTCCAAATAGAGATATAGAGATATGCATCTGGTGAATTTGTATTGTATATATATATATATATATATATATATATATATATATATATATATATATATATATATATATAGAATCAGAGAAAAAAAATATTGCAATGTCAAATTTTCCAACTTCATGCAGCCCTACAGCAAGGAAACAGACAAACTTTGTCTTTTGACAAACACATCACTCAAGTGCAAGATTGTTTATATAAAATAATTTGTCTTTGATTATGAAAGTTTTGATTATTTATATTTTATAAAATTGTGTTCGACCCCTACACTACACAATATAATCACTAATACATTATAATCTTTAATAGAAAGAATATTGCCAGAGTTCTTTATAATTTCAACTTTTATTTGTTGTATTTGTATGGGCTTTTTTTTTTTTTTAGATACAACTAAGAGTTTTGCACAAAAGTTAATGTAAGCTATGCAAACACCACAGTTTGCTCAGGTCCACTCGCGTTTAACTCTGATAAACTAGCAGGACTAAAACCAAAATATACAGAAACAGAAATGAGCTAAAACTAAATTGAAATGTACAGCAAATGTAACTTTTAAATGCAAAACTATAATAACCTTTCTCCAGAGATCAGTGGTTGATCGTACACTTCTCGAAACTGCATGTAAGCAGACTTGTATGTCCCCAGTATTCATTCTATGTGAATGTAGGTCCTGAAGTCTACTTGTTTACTGTTGCAGCCATTTTGGCCAGTGCGGTCCATTGAAGAGGAAACACTGAATTTGACAAGACTGCAAGACTGTTTAGTTACTCTGATTTTAACTTGCCCTGCAACTTTGGTTCTTAGGGGAAAAACAAGGATCCAATCAAAAAGATCAGGTTTCTCAAAAGATCAGGTTTCTCAAGATTTTTGTTTGCAAAGAAATGATTACTTTTATGCCGAAAGGATGGATTAAACTGGTCAAATGAGACAGTAACAATACAAATTATATTTAAACCAAATGTTGCAAACAACAAATGCTGCTAATGAAAACTTGTATTTATTTTAAATAGTTATACTGCTCCCTTTGCTGTATTTAAAAATGTAATAATCAAATAAACATTCAAAATGATAAAATAAAAATTAAATAAATGTACTATGAATAAGATAATACTTTTTTATAATTATTTTTCAGGGTTTTCACCCTTAATGGCTAGAACAGTAGTAGAGTATTGACAGGAAAGCATGTTGAGCAGAGAGAGGGGAAGGATCTGCATAGAACCTCAAGCCAGGAATCAAACTCTGGTCACCTTGAGCACCGGAGTGCATGTGTCGAAGCGCTAACCACTACACCATTGGTGCTGACTGATAAACACTTTTATTGTTGCTTTAATTTGTGCTTGACTTTTTTTTGTACACAAACACTTAAATTTACATATTAAATTGATATATTTTTATGATTTAATAATCAGTCCCTCCAGAATTTTGCAGGGACTTTTTTGTTCTTATTGTATGGACTAAAAGGTTGTTGCTTAAAAAAAAAAAATTAAATATGTAATTTGGCTGTGAAAATACACAAAAATCTTTTTTTTTTTTTTTTTTAATCTAAAGAGCCACTGGACTTACAAAACCCTGTAGGCGCTGTCTAACAAAGAGGTGTACAAACTCGGTCCTGGAGGGCCGGTGTCTAGTTTCTAGTATGTCTAGTAAGAGCTTGATAAGCTGGTTCAGGTGTGTTTTATTAGGGTTGGAGCTAAACTCTCCAAGAAACCGGCCCTCCAGGACCATGTTTGCACACCCCTGGTCTAACATATTAGTTATACATTATATACAGGTTTACATTCCCATTAGCAATGCACATTTTCCTTTTTAAGACAAGACTCTGTGCTGCGGACATCCTTTTAAAAAATCAGGACCTCCATAAATAAATTACAGCTTCCCAGTTTACACCTTCTCACACACACATACACACACTTCAACAGAGGCCCACCTGTCCTTTGAAGGCATCAATGATGAACTGAAGAGCATGAGGCTGAACACACTCAATGCATTTCTGCACCACATGATTGCCGTTTTGATCCTTCACACACTTTAACACGTGTCCGTCGAGCTCCCGAACCATCTCATTCTGCAAACCACAAACATTCAGATCATGAGCTCTGCGAAGCGACTTGTTAATGATGATAACATGAACACACAGGCTTTATAAACCTACAATGACTTGCTGGTCGGAGGGGATGAACTCCAGGGCTTTCTGAATGACTCTGCAGCCGTACATCTGCAGCGCCAGGGATAACACATGACCACGAATCCGCTCGGCCAGCGCCAGCTTCTGGTCCAGACTGCCAAACTAAACACATCATCAAGAGGCTTTTAGCAGACACTCCTCATTTCATCCAGTTTGAAACCCGCTACAATTAATCTGCATTTCTGATCAACGGCACAATATACACAGGGTTGCTTTATGCTGTTTATTAGAGATTACAGATATGCATACAATAGGGGTGGGAAACAGGTTAACTCATGATTCAATATCATTATATTTTGTGCCCAATGTTGATGCATCACTGGAAATTAATTTATATATCACACAGTATTTCTAAATAAATGATAAGAAAATACATCAAAAAGTTATAAGATGCATTTCTTTTATAACCAGCACATTTGTTTGAAAATGCAACAAAGCACTCAGCTATCAAACGTGCAGAGAGCAGTGACTGAAAAGGGTACGTCTCTAAATTAGTCAGAGCAGCAGAATGGTTAAATAAACACAAGGCCATTCAAGGGATATGTTCATGCCCTGTTGATACCTTTATCTAATATAACTTTTGGCGGAAGGCAATAGTTTGAGCACATATTCCTGTATGATGTCTCACAGCACTGACCATGAGCGATCTAGTGAACTGAAAGCGTGCCTGTGTGGAGAGCTGGATGTCTGAAACACAAATAACTTGGTCCAGCTTTAACAGAAGTATCCATATAGCAATAAATTTTCATGATTGCAATGGCTCATCTGTCAGTGGTTTAAATGACACTGGTGTATCTCTGATGTGATGTTTATCCCCCATTAATAGATGCAGTAAACTGCTGCAGTCAGTAAGACTGATCCATTCATTTAGATCTTTTGCATGTTTAGATAAATATTGACACTTGGCGCCAGCGTAGATATTGCATCACGGTCAAAAATATCATGATAGGTCGGTATGTTGTTTTTTTGTCCCACCCCTAGTATACATTAAATTTTAGATAACCAACACCAATATTTAAACTTAAGTGATAAAAACATTAAAAAATTTATATTTGGTGGAGGAACCTTGATTTTGTTTAAGCTAAATGAAAACAAATCTTATTCTGATCGATTATTCTCTGGAATAAACATGGACTAAATGATGATTTTATTTGAGAAGTTAACTTTAACCATACTGGAAACAATCAAGCAAGATTGTAGTTGATTAAAAATAAATACTTGGTATAATAACCTTAATTTTTTCGATCATAACAAATGAAAACAACTTATTCTGATTGTAATTCTCTAAAACAGATGCTCTGAAAGTCAATTTTATTTGAAATTCATACCATAGAAAAAAGACAAAGTAGGGCTGCATGATGCTGAAAAATATGCGATATTGGTTTTGATTATCGTGATAATGATATTATTTACTAAAACAGAAAAATGCTATTTTGATTAGCCATGTTTTTTTTTATTTAATGATATAATATAGATGTTTACAAAATAAAAGAAACTACAACTAACAATGCTAAAAACAAAATGAACAAATTAATTTGAAATGTACTTATAAATGGAAAACTATAATAACCTTTCTCCAGAGGTCAGTGGATGATCATGCACTTCTCAAAACTGCATGTAAGCAGACTTGTATGTCCCTGGTATTCATTCTATGTGAAGGTAGGTCCTGAAGTCTACTTGTTCACTGTTGCAGCCATTTTGGCCAGTGCTGTCCATTGAAGAGGAAACACTGAATTTGACAAGACTGCAAATATTTGACTATTTTTAAACTACAGTTCAGTTATTCAGATCTTAACTTGCCCTGTAACTTTGGTTCTTGGGAAGGGGGAATAATAATAATTATCAGGGTCCCAAGATAACAAAGAAAGGAATGTTTTCTATACAAATATTTTTATATAGAAAGTATTAATTGATCAAAAGTGACAAGGACATTTAGGAAACTGCTTATTTATACTTATGCATTTACAATATAGTTGATATTAAAATAAACAGTTAAAAGATTTTTCAGATCTAATTAATTCTAATTCAGACTGAAAAACTTTGTCAAGATGCAAGAGTTTAGTCTTTAAAACACTGAATGAGTAAAAGCTCCAGCAGATATTCTGACTCTGATTGGCTGTCGTCTTTATGAGTATTTTTTCCAGCACAGGGTTGACCTTTGGGTCACTCCAGCCAATAGAACAGCAAATAATGGGGAGGCCAGGATAAAGACAGCAAGGCCCCATCTGATCGGTCAAATTTAGATAAACAACCAATGTATAAAATAAATGTAATTCAGACATAACACATGTCTGCGATATACATATTACAGAAACTATTATCACGATAACTATAAGTTTGCTATGTATTGTGCAGCCCTAAAACAAATATTAACAAAATTATTAAATAATTAATGTGGGTTTACCTTAATTATTATTAAATAATTAAGGTAAAACCATACCTAATAAATACTAATCAGAAAAAACTGAGAATTAAGTGATCTTAATGTCAATGAAAAGAAATTCTGCTTTTCTGTGTTTACTGGATTTATTTTAATCTCTACTTACACATTTAATTTAATAATTACATTGACGCATTGCTGTGAAAACTGCTTTAAGTGCAAACACAGTTACATTAATATTTCAAGAAAACTATCAGCAATTTAAATGTTAGTGTTTGGACTAATGCTAACATTTAATATTGTTTAAATATGTTTAACACATTTAAAGTATTACGGTTCAACTTTAGCAGAAAGAGATTTTATCATACTTAACAAAACAGCAAGCATAGCTGAATTCATTTGAACACTTTAAACTGCTCAGAAAAAGAAAAAAAAAAGTCGTGTTTTCTATTAAACCACCTGCTGCACCAAAAACATGCCAAACTGCAACTTAAAAAAAAAAAAAAAAACACCAAACAATAAAATAAAAAAAACATCCAAAAAGTGGTTCATTAGACCCCTAACAGAACATGCAACAAATAACAAACTCTTTCTTACCTCAAAGAACTTCTGGATGACATAATTTCCAAACACATCAACCATGAGCTGGTAGGCGGCCTGCAGGATCTCATTGAAGACCAGCTGACGCTCTGCAGGACTTGCTCTCTCCAATTTCAGCTGAATAAACCTGCAAACAACCAAACAACTGTTTTACACATTTTATTGACCCCTTCCCTCATTGACTTTATTGATGCTGGAAAAACCTAACATTGTTTTTCTGCAATATATATTGCTGTATGAATGAAACTCCAACAACTGAATAGCTGGGGTGATTTTGTAAGGGAGTGTTTTATGAGACACTAGTTCCCAGGAGAAACAATGTATTTGGTGTTCCTCAGCTGTTAACATTTGACCAATATTATGATATATGTGACCCTGGACTAGGGTTGTAACAATATACCGGTATGACGGTTTACCACGATTTGAACGTGCACGATTATCATACCATGAACAATTGCATATCAACGGTTTTAACCCTTAAAGACCGAGACAGCCGCCCGCGGCTAAAAATAAGTATTGCTCTTAAATGTTTAATAACTTTTGATCCGCTGATCCGATTCATACAATTCAAAGATTGGCATAAAGAATAGAACCTCAGCTTTCCAGTGCTGTATCACTTAACAGCGGACTTTCAGAGGCTCCGGAATCAGTGCGGTTATGTCATCAACATTTGACAACGCTGATTTGACAAAGAAACGCTCGTCACTGTGTCTCCGGACAAATCAGACATGATACATTGATGCATTGTCCCTCCTCCATGCCCAGATTGGTTCAAACTCGCTATATCACAACCAATAAGCATAGGTTTCACTTTTGTTTGTGGACCAAGCTTTTTGAACAACACGGAATGAGAGATAGGCATACATTTATGCGCAGCTAAATAAAACGCAAAAAAAAAAAGTTTTTCATAAAATAATTCTCATAATAAGTACTTTTGCATGCACAGCAGCACAGAAACATGACAAAACAGTGACACAGCAAAGACGAACTGCTGCTCTTGCTGTTTTCAAAAGACGCAAATGAAGATGCAGCTGTTTGTCTGCATTGCAGACAACCATATCCAAATCCATATCGATAGACAACCATATCCATGCTGGCACATAAAACCTAAGGATGTTCCATATTGAATCTAGTTTCGTTATGTAACTATTTATAGTATAGTAAATATTTATATCTATTTTTTACTGAGGATTTGCACCATGTTTATTTGGACTTTATTTGGACTTTGACACATTATTTATTATTTTCTTATTTTTATTTGTTCATTGTAAGTGGTGTTGTTTATAGGAACTAAAAATATATTATTTGGAAAAAGTCAAATTTGCTTCACTGTTCTATTATTTTGTAACATTTGTAAAATACCGTATACCGCGAAACCGTCAAACCGTGGTATTGTTTTAGACGATTATCATACCGTGAAAAATTCATACCGTTACAACCCTACCCTGGACCAGAAAACCATAGTAATAAGTGTTCATTTTTGAAAACTGAAATTTATGCATGATCCGTTTATGCAAAAAATATAATAAATTACAGGCAAACATAAATAGAAAAGAGCAAAGACAATAGTAATGATTGGCCGCCAGCAGGGGCGCACCCCTTACAGTGTGACGTCATATGATAACTATCAATTGTAGATGTGTACATTGCAATATCAATGCTGAAACTTTACATGGTGTCTAAATCAGGATCCTGTGTTACCTGGAGCCGTGCTGGTCCTGAGAGAACTCCATGACGTGTCCTGCGATCTCTCTCAGCTGCAGGTTGGGGTAGCGGTTGTTTCTGAAGTCCTCCAGCAGACGGCTGCGTCCCGACGGCATCACGTCAGACATCCCGTAGCGCAGCCGTGACGAGGGGAAGAGCTGACTGCTGGGACTGAAGAGAGACGAGCCGGTGGTGGCGCTGCGGTACTTCGCCTCCGCTCCAGGAGCTGCTGAGATGAAGCGCCCACTGCCATTGGTCAGTCCACCTGAGGGGGAGGAGCTAGAGTCAATATATTGATGTCTGATGAGTAGATACAGTTTATGATGCAGGAATCAACCCACTAGAAAAAGGTCTGTTATTTTCTTGTTCTAAACAAGTTACCAGCAACTGAATTTTTGGTGTCATTTCAGTCAAGCTTTCGACATTAAATTAAAAAGACTGCACGCATTAGTTTTGTGTTTGGACATATTATTATTATTATTATTATATATAAACACCATATATATTCTTTTTAGGTGATCAACTAAAAACTAATTTTGCAGGAGTGTTAGATTCATCAATGAAAATTAGATTTAAAAGTTTATCTATTGAATTGGCGTAAACGTGTGTGGTCTATTTTAGGTTTCCCAAACTTTTCAGCCCGTGACCCCCAAAATAACAATTCCAGTGACTCGTGACCCCCACTATCCTCAGAGGTGGTTATAAACATACAAACATTGCACACACCAAAAGAAACTATACAAACACGAGCATACTGGCAACACAAAAAGTGCAACAGTCTAACAACTATATCATTTTTTAAAATGCTTATTCATTTGTTTAATTTAATGTTAACTGGCTTTTTATTTGCATGTTGTTTATTTGTAAGTTGCTTTTTTTATGTAACTATTAAAACCTATCTTCTGTAGGTTATAGGGCTGGGTGATATGGCCAAAATATCATATCCGGGTATATTTTAAAAGTCTGTATATCGTATACAGTCAATTTTAATGTCTGTATACGATATAAATCCGGAATGTTCCCATAAATGGCTACTTGAGAGTAAAAGCCTTTATTAAAACATTATTAATAAAATTGAGCAAAATATAATTCAAACACAGGGGTTTTCCCTTCCTGTTTACAAATAAACAGCTGCACAAAAAATAACAGCTGCACAAAATCTTTGATAAATAAAACACAGTACAGGTTTTTCTCCTGCTTAAAACTGTTGTGCACAATTATTAAACAGTGCACATATCAAATATATCCAAAGAGAAGTCTTTCACTCCATGTAAAAAATCCTACACATTTTTTTTGTTTTGACTAAACTTGTTTTACTAAATATTAAATAAGAAAATGAAAACGAATAGACTATAGATATGAGAAGAAATTGTTTCAGAGTACTGTGATGAAATGCTGGATATGCATTTAATGTAAACAGTCATTGTAACAGAGCTACAATGTGTTATAATGAAAATGTAAAGAGACCATCGTGTAATAAATCCTGAACTTATAATCAGTAAATATGAGGTGGTATCTGTTACGAAATGAGGTTTAAATTCCTCCCATTTTGTCGTTTTTAATTCTTTTGAACACATTTAGGTTCTGCTTGTCAATTTGACAAGGCATCTATGTTCATTCTTGGTGTCAATTGAATGAAATGTTTGATTAAAGGTTTCTGATAAACCGCTGTGACAGCTGCAGGCACTGTGTGACGTTCTTCACTGCATGTTCCTCCATATCGCATCAGTGATGGGTTGTTCTTGAACGATTCATTAATTTTGAACAATTTTTTTGTATGACTCATTGAGTTAATCATTCATTTGCACAAGCGCACATTTGTGCAATTAGAGCTTGCATGCTAACTTGGTCTGTTTTGCGCAGAATGCGCACGTGGCCTCAAAACATATCGATATGAACGATATTGGATAATACCGCGTCACGTTGGAGAATCATATTGATATATCCCTAGAACCCGATATACCGCCCAGCCCTAGTAGACATGGTAATTCTAATAGTTTAATAACATATATAAGATTGAGAAATCACCAAAATTCAAGATCAGTGCATCTATAGCTGAATTGTAGATGCTGTAACCTCACCAAGATTAAGACTGCTTGAGGATCCATGAGTTGAGAGCGAGGGTGGTGGGGTGAGAGAGTGGGAGGGGCCTTGGTTTGGAAGCGGCATGCCAACCGGACCAGGGGAGGAGCTAAAGCTGAGGCCGTTGTAAAAGGCTCCATGGCCAATAGGAGTGAGGCTGCTGGCTGTCCGCTTGTACAGATCAGAGCTGCCCGTCAGAGAATCCCGACGAGACCCGCTGGAACTGGAATTAGCCACTTCAAAAAAAAATTATCACACATTAAATATACAAGAAGCCAAAGTGAGAAACAAATGAATGTTAAATCTGATTCATCAACCTAAAACATCAGAGATTTTTGTGGTGTGCTCCTATAGTGTAGTGCTCTCTGACGTTCACTTAAGGCTGGAATGCACTGATTTTAAAAACCAGAACGGATGACACTGGTCTGAAAGACATCTGGTTAAAAATAATTTCAAGTGCCTATTAAAGTATTACTATCAATACAGTTAGAATATATATAAAATTGTATCCTTAAATGCAATTCATTTTTTTTATAAAATATGATTAAGAGTAATAATCACATGCAGTAAAGTAATTGATCTGAAAATTCAGCATGAGATTGTCATCAGAAATACATTATCGGTCAACACTTTAAAAAACAAGTTGACCAATTGAGTGACTTATTTTAGACAGTATTATCTGTTCTTTTTTCTGTTTTGCCAACAAAAGAAAGTTTCACTCTAGAACAAATGAGTAAAACAAATGCTTCAATGATCTATTCATAGACATGTTTTGTTTCTGCTTGAATCAGTCATTAAAATGACTGACTCAACTCCACAATCATCAAGACAGAAACTTGCCACCAGGATCCTAACAGTTTAAGAGTCATTAAGTCATTATGATCCGCAAAACTTTGTGGAGTTTGCTAGATTTTGAATTTAATTGTTTTTTTTTATAATAAAATTAGCAAAATCCTGAAGGTATTGACCTAACCCTGGAATAAAATGTACTGGAAATAAAAACTGGCTTGTAATGGGCAAACAAAATGCAAACACATTAATTTCTGATTTAATGCTAATTTTAATATTGCTAGAGGCTAATCCCTTCAGCTCAAAACTCCCTATATTGACTTTACACTTGAGATCACACACACCTGCCGTGCCAAAACCCCCGAGTGCTGCTCCAAGCGTGGCTCCGAGAGATGATGTTGGGTTGGCATTGAATCCGAGTGAGGTGTTTCCCGGCTGAGCGGAGCCTTGGGAGAACAGGGAGGAGCTCTGTGAAGAGGAGCTCGGAGATCCGCTCCCATAAAAAGAGCTTCCTCCCAAAGCCCCGCTCCCTTGCTGCCCAGGAGCCTGCTGGGAACTCAATGCACGAAACGCACCGCTGGCTCCACCACCGAGACCTGCATTCGCCCCTCCTGCTGAAGCGGCGGCAGCAGCCACTGGGAAGAAGAATGAGATGTTCAAATACCAATTGACATTGAATGAAGGTATGAGGAGTGTGAAATGATAGTCATTTTCATACATGCACCTGCGGCTGATGGGCTGATGATTACTGATGCGGGGGCCATAAGTCGAACGGGTCCTCCACGAGCTCCTGTATTCACCACAAGTGCACCTGTCTGGTCATAATATGCAGCAGGAGCCAACACTGGATAACCTGAAATACCACAGAGGGGACTTTATTAGACATTGTGAACTGTGAAAGCTTGATCTGTTAAAAGGTTCACTTAAGTGCATTAAGGCTGATTTATACTACTGCGTCAAACGCACACGTATGCTACGGCGTTGAGGCATAGCCCTACGCCATGGCCGTCGGCTTCACTGACGTGCACCTCTCAAAAAATGTGACTACACGTCGCAACGACGCTTAGCGCAAGCTCTGTGATTAGTCGGCTTGGTATAGCTGACGAGTCAGGGCGGGACCGAGAGACGCGGGAGCATAATGGAGTGATTGTTTACAAGTGTGGAGTCTCGTGAAGGAGCTCCGGATGGAAAGTTTTGTTTTGTGTTTACCTCATAGTTAAAGTTGTTGCACGTCCGCCGGTTCCTGCCTCAAAATGAGCGAGTTTGAGCCACTTGTACATTCAGGAAGCGTTCAGAAAGCACAAAACAGCAGCAAAGAAACTTGACATAGACACATTAACACCTGACAGCCAACTAGCGTTTCGGAAGTGTTAATGCAGACCAACAGAGACAGCGTGCAGAAGTACAAATGCACAGCTACGCGCGTTGCATGCGCCGTTGGTTACGCTGGGAACTTGACGCAGAAGTATAAACCAGGCTTTAAAGCTTAGCTCAATGCAGGATGCAATTTCACCTGAAACAAAAACAGGGTATATACAGGGTAATTTCAAAACCTTTGTAAGACCTTCTCAGAATATTTTAAGACATTTAACTTAATAAACAGTTGTAGTTAAAGGTTCAAGAAACCCTGGAGTACATAGAGATTTAAACAGATTTGTGTATGTTGAGCATGATTTGAGACGATGTTAGCACCAGTTAGCTATAATTGTGGGTAAAATGTAATCTTGCAGGTTTAATAACTTTTGAGGAGAAATAAAAATCAGTGGCGTAGCACAAAACTGCAAGTGGAGTGATGACGCATCTGTTTCCCATTATTATTCATAGCAGGGTTTACTTATGCTATGAGAAGAGCCTGCTTCTTAATTATTCATGAGCGCACGTGCTTTCCGAAGGCAAAGCAGACCTGCCAAGCTGGGAGACCCAATGACTGGGTGAGACTGGTCGTATGTGTTTGTTTCCATGATCCACAGGATTTGTTGCATGTTTTTCCCTGCGATGCTGTCAGGGCAGACACAGCAAAGCTGTTGGTTTGCAACAGGCATTTTTGTAGGGAGAGCTGTATGAGAATGGCAGACTTTTATCAGTTGAGTTTGTTACAGTTTATAGTTCGTTATTGAGACACATCGCCTTTATTTATTCTGCTGTCTTCACAAGTTTAAAATCCTCTTATTACCAGCAGGGCTGGTTATAGACAGGGCAAGAGACCTGCTGCACTGCTATCCACTGTTTGCATTCAGACCCAGGGATTGAGAACAGAAGTCCTCCTTATTTATAGTGTTTATATAAACATGATTATCATCATAATGACATAACAAATTGGGATTGTGTATATGAAATTACGAATAACAAATGTAGCAGGACATTAAATTATTTCCTGTCAATTTCTTTGCATTTTAACTTTGTAAACTATAAAATCATGCGTCTCCCCACGGTTTGTCTCTCATGTTGTGAGCAGACTGACCACAGTTGCTCACTCCTCTTTTTCCCCTGCACTGTCAGCCACACCCACACCCCCTCTGCCCGCAGAGCTCAACGCCCATCTCAAAGCACTTTTTGAAAAATTTCTGAGGTAGACTTGAACTGAAAGAGAAGGGCTTCATGGCTCTTTAAATAAATCAATGGAGCACAACCATGCAACAGAACTTAGATAAGCTCGGAAGAAACAAAGCTTGGTCGAACATTAACACAAACAAGCCAGCTTTGTTGACAGTGTCAACGGGTTGCTGTTAAAAGGGGAAATGAAGCACTCAGTTTACATAATTGTACATTGGATTCCTCTTTTATGAAAATATATTAAACAAACTCGATTAATGTAATCATTAAGCAGAAAAACGGCATGTTTTTCTATAGATTTTAGACCTTGGGTGCCGCCATCTTGAAATACTTCTGTGTCTGACATCACAGGGTTGGTTCCTTTCCCTGAGCTGAACAAATACAGTGGAAGGACAGAACATGGTGACTGCAAAGCCTATTTTAACCCAATGCGTGAAGTTGAGGATGTAGAGCTGGTGCGCACGCACACACAAACACAACTGATGCTCGTATTTGCACCAGCTCCACAACTTCACGCATTGCGTAAGTTGGGCTGTTCAGTCTCTGTGTTCAGTCCATTACTGCTTGGCCAGCCAGTGTCTGTATGCTAAAGCACATCTGACTCATAACCGTCACAGTCTAGAACAGCAATGCTGAGTCTTTCATTACAGTTTCATCGACACTAGTTGTTTGGCGTCTGCTTGGTGTGTCCCGGCCTTTAAATTATAGCATTCAGTGCAGAATTAGTAAAGGAGAAATAGTACCAGAGCGGACAGCACAAACAGCAGCAATCCAAAATTGGAAAGCACATTTGCACTGTCTGAAATCATTTATCTCCTATATAGTGCACTATGTGCCACTCACTATAAAGAAAATTTTAGTTTTAGGGTAACAGTCTAGAAGTTCACCCAAAATTTCTCACCCTTCAATTGTTCTAAACCTCGGAGTTTTTTTTAAATAAAAAAATTATATACTGAAGACTTTTAAAAACCTAATGTATTTGACATCCATAGGAGAAAAAGAAATATACTATGGTAACTGTGACTGTGTGTGTGTGTGTAATATATTTTCACCTTCAGCTCTTGCCAGACAGCGGAGATAAAAGATGTTTCTAGAGTCCTTTACCTGGTACACCTGCTGCCAGACCCTGCCCAAAAGCCAATGCCGAGTTCACAGCTGCTGCCGCTACGAGCTGCTCCGTCTGCTGACCCTGCTGTCCTTGACTTGGAGTGAGAGGTCGCTGGTTTCCACCTGCACGCATCACCTGTGACGAACAAAGGTCAAAGATCATGGTGAGTCTCAAGGGTTTTTACACAAGATGAAATAAAAGCCATGGGTGTGCTCACAATGTTTCTTAAATTTAAGCTCTAAATGCCTTATGGATTAGATTATAAACTCTGCTGTAAATGGCCTTCTTTGGGTGAAACTAAAAACATTTTTAAATGAGCTGCTGCTTTCCAGAAAAGGGCGGCGCCTTTACAGGTTGCGCATCTGTTACTCAGGAAACAAAACATCTGCATTTGTTTTTAAGAGTAAGGAGACTTGTCAGTTTAAGAGTTTATCCAAATACTCAGTTTTCTGTGCACAGTGTTTGTGCTTTAAAGTACTTTCAATGTAACGGCAATGTCCAAAAAAAAATTAGCATGGGTCAAAATTCTGTTTGTTTGTTTTTTTTTATTATGCCAAAAATCATTATAATAGAAAGTAATATTACATGAAGATTTACTGTAAATTCTTAATGTAAAATTTATCAAAATTAAAATTTTGATTAGTAATGTACATTGCTTTGAGCAGGGGTCACCAATTTCGGCCCTGGAGGGCCGGTGTCCCGGCAGGGTTTAGCTCCAACTTCCCTCAACATGCTTGCCTGGGTGTTTCAAGTATACCAAGTAGGACCTTGATTAGCTTGTTCAGGTGTGTTTGATTAGGGTTGGAGCTAAAATCTGTAGGACACCGGCCACAGGAACAGGTTTGGTGACCCCTGGCTTAGAGCTTCATTTGGACATTGTTAATTTGATTTTCTCTGTATTTTGATTTAATCTGAACCCTCCAGATTTTCACTGTTGTAGCTTAGCTAAATACTGCCCTATCCTAACCAAATATAAATCAATGAAAAGCTTATTCAGCTCTCAGACAATGCATAAATCTCAATTCCCAAAAATGATCACTTATGATTTTGGTTTTGTGGTTACATATATCATAAAATTAGTTACATGTTATTACAGAGTTTCTGCAGGTTTCACCAAGTTAAATTTAAGGCTTTAAATTAAGACCATTATAAATGAAATTTTAGACTCATACAGTGCTAAACGCAAGAGTTTTTCTAATGGCCCATCAACAAATTATTTGACCTATAGAACAAATTATGATTTAATACATTTAATAGTACAATACTAATTATTAAATACTAATAAAACTAATTACTTAATAAAAAAGTTACATAATTTAGCTATTTAAAAGCAAGCTCTAGTTGAATAAATGCACTTGTTTTCAACATGACTTTCTTTAAAAATAAATTTAAGAAATGTTTTAAACATTTTAAAAACTATAATTAACTGAATGTATGCACAAATATCTGTCCAGGTCAGTGTCCTTATCAGTATGGAAAACAATTAAACAAATATTACGATAAATAGCGTTAAAATAAAAATTTACGCTCAATAAAAATACATTCTATTGAGGTGGAATGTTTGTTCATGTATAGTTACATCACTAAGGAAACTTAAGACCTGCTTAAAAAAAGATTTAAGACCTACAACGCAAGGTTTCAGCAAATTTAAGACTTGCGGCCTAAAATTTAGTTTTTGAGATTTAAGACATTTAAAGATTTGTAAGACCCGACAGACACCTTGTATTGACCTTATTCTAAAATGCTGAAGTGCACCTGTTTTCGCGATTGTTTTAGAACTTCTGATTCAGTCGCCTTTGGGAGAAATGACTAGGAATAATAAACGGTAAAAAAACGGTTAAACAACTTGCTCTACAAACAAATGTTTGCTTGACTATATAGACCAAGTAGAATAATATAATAAGGAAATATCAGTTTGCAACATCAAACAGCGAAACGAGCAGTTTTTAATGCATAAAAATGAATGCAAGTGATCAAGACGGGAAGTCTCGAGCCAAAAATATTCAAATGGCTGCACCCTCTCGTCGGCGAAGAATTAGGTGAATAAGCGCAAGTAAAAAATGTCATGTTTATTAGAAAATAATAGCTCACTGAAACAGCGTCTCATGCACTACCATTTAAATGAGGGATACTGTATTCGTTTGCAGAAGAAAACTCAGGACGACAATGATGTTTAAGGGAGTTCAGAAAATGTGAGAACTTCATTTGGTGCTTGATGACTTGGCAGATATTTCAGACTCTCAGACAGCAACATTAAACACTAAAATAAGTGTAAAAAACGCATAATAGGAGCCTTTTGATCTACTTCTGCATGCTGAACTCTCACCTGCTGTTGGTTCTGCTGGTTCTGCGCTGCTGACTGCTGGTTGGCCGAGTTGGATGGCGTGGCAGCCTGCTGCTGGAACAGGTTGGCAGGATACACTCCCCATGGAGTCACTCCATAGTACTGAGGGGGCATCACCGCTGGGCCTGAAAGACACGCACACACGTCATATCGCAGATGAAGGGCCAAAGCAGCAGTTTTCAGAGCAGACTCAGAGGCTTTGATGTACACCGCAGACACTTCCGCTGCCTTTGTACTCGGATTCAGGAGCATCAAAGCAGGTGGGTGTTTGTGTGTGTGGTTTAACCAAGCAGCCTGCCTCAATCTTACAGAGAAATCTCAAGACCAGAGGATGCGGTCTAAACTGTTCCCATCACCTGTCATTCACTCCAGACTGATCAGCTGGGCATCTTTAGCAAGAGACCAATCCTGCCACAGCAAGTAAAGTCTGATTTATACTTCTGCATCAATCGATCGCTGTACTTCATGGCTCAAAGTTTGTACATAGCCGACGGGTTGTCATTGGAGCACGTTCTAAACCCTCTGATTGGCCATTGTGTTCAAAAGCTCAACAAATATGACTGTGATTGGCCATTAAGGGCATCGGTTTACCACTCCTCACTAAGTGCAAACACACTTGCTTAGATTTGACAGAATAATACATTGCCTTAAGGTGCATTCTAGGATGATTAACTGTCATTGCTCAGTTGCAAAAAAATAAAATAATAATAATAATTGAAATATTAAATGGAATGTGTATATATATTAGCATATTGATACTGGTGTATACATTTCATGTGCATTTACTTCACAGTTTAAAAGCTTTATGTCAGAAAATACTACTTTAAAGGGTGATTTAACCTTCTGCATAAAGCACACACATATGGTTCAAGTTTGAGCGACATACATTAATTTATCGCTTAGAAAAAACAAAACACCAGCGAAGAAACTCGACACAGAGAAACGTAACAACCTACTGCCGGCTAGCATTTTTGAAGTGTTATTGCAGAGCAACACAAATAGCAGGCAGAAGTATAAATGCATGACTACGCGCAAGGCAGGCGCCGTGTGTCACGCCGATAAAGTGTGTTGCCAAAACATGTTTAATTAACCATTGAAAAGTTTAGCTTAAAATGACTGATTCACTTAGAAATAAAGCAGTTGTCGCTCTACTTAAACAGATAAAAAAAACACCCACAATGCTACAAGTAACACGCAAACTCTCCTTTGGCTTTTTTTGAAACCATTTTTGGTTATGCAACTCAATGATTTTATGTGTGAATATACATACACTATATGGTTTGAGTTAGAATGCAGGTAAGGTTTAGTTGCATGTAATTATGCATAATGAACTGTAATTACTATAGTTAAAACACAAAACATGTGTAACAAAGACAGCAAAAGACAGTATTGCCAAAACAATAATTTCAAACATCCATTTTTATATTTGCATAATAACTGGTATTTATGAATTGTGACGTCATGCAAAGCGGCATCCGTTTACAAGCACTACGTCAAACTATATTGGGAGGCTCATCAAATAGTAATATTAAACGGGATGTAGTATTTTCGAAAATCATGATTGCATATATATATATATATATATATATATATATATATCCATGCCTAATATCTGATGGCCAGAAAGTGATTAATTAAAAAAAAAAAAGTTCAAATAAGCAAGTCCAGAGACTGTTGTGTACACCATGACACCAGGAAATTCACTTCAATGTGTGATATGACTAAAAAGTGGTCATAATCCAAAATTTTCTCAAATTAAATGAGTAGTGGCTTGAAACAGTTTTCTATACGTCACAACTTAGCTAGTGGATAAGCCAAACGACATGGTATACATCTTGCTGACTTTTCAGCCATGGCTTCTCACCTAGAGTGGCGGCAGCAGCGAGTCCTGCAGCATACGGGTCGGTGCCGGGCGGAGCAGCGCTGATGATGTACGGATTCGGTACAAATGCAGCTGGAGCCAAACCTTACACACAACCAACAACACACCAAGTTAAATAAAGCACACAAACTTCATCTACAAGCTAATCCAGACGGAGCTCCAGTCAAACTCACCAATGTGTGGCTGTTGGGCTGCGGCGAGCGCGTACTGCTGCTGCTGGGCTGCGGTCAGCTGCTGGACTGCCAGAGCATTGGGTCTCTGGAACAGCTGAAACACACGCAGAGCCAGGACATTCACAATGAGCATTTACATTCATATTTGTGAAGTCTATATAAAGACATGCAGAAAGGCATATGATGATGGTATAAAAGATTTTTGTTGTATACTGAAGTTACAACAAACCAGTTGCAAAGTTAGCAAATATTAACTAAGAAATTAACTTAAATTAGTACATATGCTTTATAAGTGGTTTTCATGGTCAGTTTAATTGAATGACAATAAAAACATTTAAAAAAATCTTTGTGAAGCGTTATACGGTCTTCTAAAAATATTTTGAGCACAAATAACATCTGAACGTGGTTGTTCGACTATTGAAACAGACAATACAACAACAGGAATCTGTCCAAGGCACTCGAAAAATGTGGAAAATTCAAAACGTTTTTTTTAATTTTCCACATTTTTCGAGTGCCTTGGACAGATTCCTGTTGTTGTTTTGATGAATCCCTCACCCAAAGAGCACCGACCAAATATCTGAGTTACCCCTGAGCGTTTTTTGTTTGTTTTACTGACGATACAAGTCTGGACCTTCTCAAAAGGCATTTGACAAATATAAATAATAAAGAATTACTGGTAACACAAAACTAATCATGCATTAATTAAAAGTTTTTTGTCAAGATGAACAAAGTATGAATAATCTTGTAAAGCCTTTATTAATAATCATAATTTGCTCAGTGTATTCGTTTACTAATGTATTAATGAAATCTAAGTGCTTGTTAACACAAACTTAAAATGAGCAACTTTATTTTCATTAATGTAAGCAAAGATTTTAATTTAAGTTACATTACATCAACATGCCAACTAATTCTCATTACATTATAAGTAGACTGTTAGGTTAGGGTTAGTATAAGTTGACATGCACTTGCAAAGTTTCTTATAGTCAGTTAAATGTCTGTTGAAGAAGCAGTATCAGCAGATAATAAGCAGAAAGACTACTAATACTCAAATGGCCCATCAAAATAAAGTGTTACCATGTGTTTCATTGGTTCTTCATGTACTAACATTAACTAATGGAATCTTATTGAATAGTGTGACCTTATTATTCACTGTATTTTAAAGTACCAACAATAATAATAATAATAATAATATGAATGTTTATTGGGATATATTGTCTTACTGAAGTCTAAATGCAAAATGTGAGTAGCAGTTTACAGAATACTTTTTTTCTAGAGATATAAACAGTGAACAAATAAAGTTGTTCTTCACTTCTGTGGCCTTTGATAGCAATTAATATATTTACATATATAATACACTTACTTTCATTATTATCATCTTTATGAGAGTTACTAGTGCTAGAATCATCAGATGTTTACCTGCTGAGGGGAGTTGTAGTCAAACAGGCCGACGGTAGCAGCTGTGGAGTCAAGCGGCAACTGTCCTCCAGGGTACTCGAACTGCAAAGTCTCCATAGACACTGACTCCATGGGGTCCAGGGTCACATTTTGGGTTTCAACATTTGAAAACTCCTCGGCTGGTTTCGGCCCTGCACCTCCTACCATCTCTGGTCCTCCCAACTCCACCTCTTGACCAGTTGGAGGGCAATTTCCAGGGGTCCGACTGGAGGGGAAACGATGCTTTTTAGAAATACTAAAAATATACTAGGCTCAAAAAATGTCTGGGGTCTGTAATGGCTATTGTTTGCTTATAAATGAAACATGTATTTAATAAAATTTGGAAATATTACACATAATTTTAAATGTTTTTTTTAGAAAGGTTTTTGTTTTCCTATGTTGTAATGCTACAATTTTAGCACCCTTAGTGCACTGTTCAGTGTCACATGATGCTTCAAAAATCAATCTAATATGTGGCTGAACTGTTAACGATAGTTGTTTATCCATTAGGAAATTTGACTGAACTGCAGTCTTGGCTTATCTGTTATCTCTCTATAATGTGAAGCCTATAATGCATAATTCTAGCCAAGGCTATGTATGAGAAAGTCGCTTATAGTTATATAGTTCGCTTATGTTTTATTGCTGAGTCATAAATTAAAATAAGGACACATGACAGCTGAGCGGGACTATCTTGGTCCATTTAGAAACATTGCAGTGTGAAAGTGCACCGCACCGAAAACAAAGTGCAACAATTCACAATTTTAATCCTTGTTTTGGAACAAAACAATCTGTCTACAGGTGTGAAAGCACCCTAATACTTTTGCAAAATTATGAAGTCTTGATGGTCACATCTGATAATGATTCTTTGTGAATTAAACCACTCATTTCTTTACAACAAACAAATCATGTACTGACCCCAAACTTCGAGCTGTAGTGCATTATTGCACCTTTTGTGGCACATACCTAAAATCTTTAACATCCACATCAAGTCCATTCTGATTGGGCAGTCCATTAGGATTATCCAAAACATCTGGTTCGGTCTCCTTCAGTTCCTTTCGTTCGGGGTCAAACGTTGTCTTGGGTTTTTGTTCCACCCTTTTCTCAGGGTCATCAGCCTCTGAATCTCTTGGACCCTAAGAGAAACAACAAAAAGCATGAGCGTTTGTTTGTTTATTTTTGCCACATCAGCAACTTCTGGCTATTTTATTGCATTCCTTTACATAAAATGAACAACTTTATATTACAACAACAATATAAAACAAATAATATTAGATATAATTTAGCTCTATATATTACAATAATTTACTATTCTTCCTAGGGATACATTTTTAAAAACATCCAAAGTGCACACAGTGCAAAACAATCTTGGGTCGGCACTTTATATTAAGTGGGCTTAAATAATATGCACTTACTCTGAAACTAATAATTCGTTACAATGTGTGCATGTTAGGAATTCTCCAATCAATCGGCCAGAGATCGATATCGGCCAATAATTGCATTTAATGACTTGATCGGTACTCGCCAATTTGGCCAATCTCATGCATTGATCGCTAGTGTTTGTTTAAAAGTTTAGAAGTGTGAGCAATTGCAGCTATAATATATACAGATGCAAAGCAATCTGTTTACAGTCTTTTGGCTCGACTCCCTTAAAAGGTCTTTTTGCTGCAGCCATTGCATATCCAGTGTTTTGAGCTGCTTTATCTATTATTTTCTGTAAATCTGCTTCTGACCATGACGTGTTCACACCTAAATGGTTATAGGGGTGTTTATCCTTTATTTATTCTGATGTGTATGGAGAGATCTCCACTTAAGGATCATACTTGGAGAGAAATGTGCCTTATGCATTATAAAGCTGGAGCCATCAGAATCAGTATTCAGTATCGGTCGATCACAAATCACAAGAAATCGGTACTTGGTATCAGCTGCAAAAATCCTCCAAATACCACCAAACCGGTCCCTAACCGACCGCAAGACAACCAGACAACGCAAGAAAACCAGAAGTACAAAGTAGTTATGCTGATGACACTCAGATCTACTTAGCCTTACTGCCTAATGACTACAGCCCCACTGACACCCTCTGCCAATGCATTGATGAAATTAACAATTGGATGTGCCAAAACTTTCTTCAGTTAAAAAAAGAGAAAACTAAAGTCATTGCGTTTGGGAACAGAGATGAGGTTCTCAAGGTGAATGCGTACCTTGGCACTAAGGGTCAAACAACAAAATAAATAAGGTCAAGAAACTTGGTGTGACTCTGGACTCAGATATGAGTCTCAGTAGTCATGTCAAAGCAGTTCGTAGCATACCATCATCTCAAAAACATTGCAAGAATTAGATGCTTTGTTTTCAGTGCTTTAAGTCTTAGAGAAGACTTGTTCATGTTTTTATCAGCAGCAGGGTGGATTACTGTATAAACTAGAAATTCCAAGAGTTCAGTCAAAGCAGGGTAAATCCGCCTTTAGCCACTAACAGCGCCCCCTGCTGCTGGAATAAGCTTCCAGAAATGATCAGATGTGCTCCAACATTAGGCACATTCAAATCAAAACTGAAAACACATCTGTTTAGCTGTGCCTGTACTGAATGAGCACTGTGCTATTGTGTCTTTATCATTCTTTATATCCCGTTTTAACACATTTAATCTGTTTTTAATCATTTTTATTACTTGTTTTTTTTTTCCTTATCTTTGTCTTTTTTATTCTTCTTTATGTAAAGCACTTGAACTGAATTGCCACCGTGTATGAAATGTACTATATAAATAAACTTGCCTTGCCTAGTTAAAGCCACTAGGGACCAAATTTAGTCTAGTCTTTAGAACTACACATTTTATTAAAACGTATTTTATGATGAGGAAAGCCTAACAGGAGTTCAGTCATTAATCCAAACCTGTATAATTACTAAAATTGGGAATAACATGATGTTAGCATATAAAGCACTTTTGATTCTGGGTGACCTATTTTCTAAAAGGTAATCATCGTAATAATGTAATGAATGTTTTGACAATGAAAGATTTCAGTAATCGGGACTCACATAGGCTCCTTTGCGCAGACACGAGTCCATCTTCTCAGCAGGTGAGGAGCTGAGCACATACTCCACCATGGAAACCCCTAACCCACCGCTCTCGGACCGCGGCGACAGCACAGATCCCGCCTCTCCCACTCCGTGGAAGCCCTGACCCGGTCGGCGCTGCACCATGATTGGCTGAGACACTGAGTGATCTAAAAGAGAAGACGGGGGAGTAAAACTTTACTAATGGCCTGTAATAACAGTAATCAGCATACTCAAAATAAATAAATAAATAAAAATAAAACAATTGATAAACAGAACTTACTAAATAATAGTTAACTCAGTTACAAAAAATGTTTTGGTCCAATTTGTTGTGATTGCAATGTCAATTTCAATTAGCTAGTTGACTTTAATGCTCTGCCATGACACTTTTTGACTGACGGCGACTAGTCGTGCTGCGCAGATCACGCGTTTTTTTTACCTGAACTATATTGCAGGTTTACACACCAAGGTGGTTCACTAAATGAAACTCCCTTCAGATTATTTAAAGTCATTTTTAAAATGTCATTTTTATTATGTCAGCGTCAAAAAATTACGTGGACTATAAATAGTCAAACGGATGCTAGTTAAATAGCTCCATTCAAATATCCTAGAGCATATGCTAGCCAATCACGTTTGCACAATTCTGGAAAAGTAATGGTATTGGCTGTTGCCCTTTGCGAAGTGTAGACACGGACACATCTTGTGAATGAACTGTAAAGCGTGCAGAAACCGTAAAGTGCGCAGCTCCAGAGGAGTGACAAACTTCAAAGCATGTGTAAAAATAATCCCCGGTGAACATGAAGACGTCTGATAAGCAAGAAGAGAATGTAACCGTGAAAAACACCCGACTTGAGCAGGATTGAGCAGCTTTCTAAATGTGCACAAGTCTCTGACAGTGTAATAGAGCTTAATGTTATAGCCTTTGTCTTTCATGCATTATGTTATGAACAACTTCACATGACTCTCTGTGCTGAGGACATTTGCTTTATTTCTGCGCTAAAATATCTGTTAGTCACATCCTTACTGGAACGTGCAGTGATCAATGTGTTGACTGCATTTATTTACCAGTAAAATTAGCCTGAATGTTAATGTTGCAATAATCATAAAATAAAAGTGTTGACAATGCATTTGTTTTGCACTAAAATCAGTCATTGGTAATGTTGCATTGTTTTTGCAATGAGTTATGAGTCGTCAAACAGCATCTGTTTGTATTTCCTGCAAATAAAATGCAAATTGTGGCATGTTGAAAACATTTGCATCTTTTGTTATATTGATGACATCACCAGCGACTAACTGACATCGACTCTACTTTCATAGCATAAAAGTCGACTTCCAAAAATCTAGTCGTTCAACCCCTAATTTCAATAAATATTTTAGAGTGTGACTGTTTTATGTTATTTTATTTTTGAGCATGTAAAAAGACTGGGTTGTTATGATTCACAGATTTGTACTGAACATCTTTGTAAAGAATCTTACAGTTTGGCACTCATGTTTTAACATTTTTAAACCTGTTTTTAATCATTTTAATTCTTTTTTTATTTTTACTTATTGTATTTTATGTTTCCTTTATTCTTGTTTATGCATTGTTACTTTGAATTATACACTTCTGTATATAATGTGCTATATAAATGAACATGCCTTACATCAGGGGTGTCCACTCTCAGTCCTGTAGGGCCGGTGTCCTAGAGAATTTAGCTCCAACCCTAATCAAACACACCTGACAAGCTAATCAAGCTCTTACTAGGTATACTAGAAACTTCCAGGCAGGTGTGTTGAAGCAAGTTGGAGCTAAAGTCAGCAGGACACCAGCCCTCCAGAACCGACTTTGGACACCCCTGCCTTACATGATAGGAAAACAGTGCAATGCTGGTAAAGTGAAAGTCAGATCTGCTTTGTAAATAACTTCAGGTGTTTGTGACCTCAAAAAGAGACTGAAATCAGCAAGTGTTTCAATGTGTGTTTAGTAAATGAAACGGCTTTTTATTCACACAGATGCATGCAAAATATTTAGAGTTGATACTTATATAGTCCCATTCAGAAACTAGTGCCCATCACGATTTGATTACATGTACAACAATACTTTGACTTATTCAAACTAGGGCTGCACAATATATCTTTTCAGCCTCGATAGCGCAATGTGATCACCCGAAATAGTCAAATCGGAGGATTTGCCATGTTGACTTTGTATTATGTCAGAAGGTGGAGTTCCACAGTTTAGGTGTGAAAGAGGGAAAAAATCCCCATGCAATGGAAATGGGTTGGGGGTAACCCTAAAAGAAAGTAACCGAAGGATTGTAGATCGCAACTAGACATCAAAGAATTAGGTTGTGATGAATAATGAGAAGCAAGGCCATGCAAATCTTTGTAGGTCAGCATGGCAAATTTTAAATCAATGAAAAACCTGACAGGCCCAGCGCAATGACTCTAAAACCGGGGAGATTTAGAGATCGCAATTATTGTTAGTATTCTAATGCGAACTATACTGTGCTACTCAATGGAAATGAGCCATTATAGGCACTGAGCTGTCAATTTAGAGTAAAATACTACATCGCATGTGCACACACACATACCAGAGGCTCCCCAAGCGCTGTCTCTCCACTGGTCCAGAAAGATCCCTTTTGGTCCATCTTTCCCTGAATCATCAGTTTCCCAAAACTTCTTCCCAGTAAGGAGCTGCTGCACAGGCCGAACAACAGGCAGAAATATTAATACATAGCCAAAGCACATAACCAAAGTATAAAATAGAAGAGGAGGATGATCTTACCTCTCCCATGGCCCGACCCTCCAGTGCCAGTGCCTGGAAGTCATGATTTAGCTCATCCATGGATCGTACCTGTGTGAAGTTTCACAAATATCATTTGAAATTAAAATACTTTATTTTTGGTCCTACAAATAAGAGTAATTCACTGTGAATGAACCATTACAAGATGATCATTTAATATTCATTTAATTCCCAGAATCATTGTATGAAAGAGGCTAATGTACGCCTTGGCAATTGTGCCGTGCATGTTTTTGTTTCAGTTTTTTTTTTAATGGCAAAATTTTGTTGCTGCAGTGTAATACATAATTACACTGCAAATAATACAATTAAATTTGTGTTAAATGATGTCTATTTAGTTGTGATGCTTTCAATAAATTGTAAACAGGACTGCTTTAATAATTTAATATTATATTAAATTTGATAAAAATCACTTTAAAAATCACACATTAGAAATTAAATATTACATTGAATAATCAAATTAAAGTCTAATATAAATATAATCAACATTCTAATTAAAATACGAGTATATTTAATTATTTAATTTTTTATCATTTTAGCTTATTTGGGTATTCAAGTTATTATAATAGTCTTTAAAAGTTGTTATTTTTCAACAATTGAATGGACAGTAATTAACTTTGTTTCAAATAATTTGTATATATGTTTTACATTAAATACATATTTTTTATAAATTAAACATTAAATATCACAAAAATGTTAAAGGGCATCTATTTTAACCCTTTTACAAGATGTAAGATAAGCCTCCAGAATGTGTCTGTAAAAGTTTCGTCTCAAAATACCCATCAGATTATTTATTACAGCCTCCAGAATCTGCCCATTTTGGTGTCTGAGTACTGTGTAGCTGTTTTTGTAGCCTGTGGCATTAAATGCAAATGAGTTGCTTCTCCCCGCCCACCATTCCCAAGTGCGTGTCTGCTTGTCATCATGCGTTACATCAGATAAACAGCAGTCAGTGATAGAGACAGACGCATATGAAGCTGAAATACAGCTCAGTCAAAAATACCAAGTTTATTCAATGTATTTGTGGTGGAGTTTATTCAAGCCTTTCTGAAATGATGAGTCTCACAAATGTTTGCAGTACGTACACACACACACTGTTCATTGACACCATGCGGTCATGGTGATTGTAACAGTTAAGAATTACAGTGATTTTACTGTCTTTATACAAGTATGCTCTGTTTTAAAAACGTTTTAAACTTATAAAAACGCAGAGTTGGAACAAATAATCACAGTTTCTTTGAAATAAAATGTTTTGTGGACGTGTGTATACATGTTATTATAGAAACATTGTGCCTGTCCATCAATTCGGTGGGCAAAGAAAACTACACTCTTACGTCACATTGCAGTGGGCCTCAAAGTTACTGGGATTTGGGACCTATTCTAACATCAGTAAATTGCAAACTGAACTCCGTTCTGTCCAAACAGCTAACAAAAGTTTTATAATTAAAGAATTTAATACAAAAAAAATTACCTGTAGAAAAATAAACCAAAACTGACCTATTCTTAATTTTCAACCAAGTGCGTCTTGTGACTAATTACGGATGCATCCTTAATTATTATAAAATGTTAATGCTACAGGGATTATGTAAAAAGGTATTTTTACCTGGTTGTCTGCATGAATATTGTCGCCGGTCGGCCAGCGGTGTTTGCAGTTGTTGTATCCGGGCTGGTCCCCGTGCTGCCGCTGAAAGAAATAATCCACCATTGCGTCATCTTGCGATCGTCCGGCTCCCTGTGTCGGGGCAGGGGCCTGAGGAGAAGGGCCGGGTTGAGGGGTGTGGCCCGCAGCACTCAGCACCACAGGCATGCTGGGTAATGGCCTGTCAGGGGGAGGCAGTCTCAGGTGGGGGCTGAACGAATCCTGCCAGAGCACAGCTTTCCTCTTCAACACACACGCTACGCTCATTCCACCAGAGACTGCAACACAAGAACAAAACAAAACACCATTAACCCTTGAGACATCTGGGATTGAGCTTACAGCGCATTTGGTTCCTACACCTGTGCGTCCAATGGGAAAGATCACAAATACAAATGATGAAATACTGATCTAGATTTTTCATGGCTGATTAAAGTTGATTCTTTAATTTTGTACCAAGTAAACTGGCTGATTTGAATAAAGATGTTTTAGCTAGAAACAAGATGAATGTCAAATGAGTACAGAAATGAGGTGTGCACAACTATCTGCAGTGGTTTAAAATTGAGGCAACCGCAGTGCCTCCTGCATTCAAACAAACAATTTATACACTGACTACATAATTGGGGTGGGTAGGTTGTGGGTTGAATTAGTATTATTTAAAAATGTTAAGTAAAAATATAATGATCTGAGCTTTAATAAATTATGCTGCCAACAAACAACAACAACAACAACAACAACAAAAACACTCATACAAAAATGTAGACAGGCTGAATACAAATGCAAATTCAGTTTCTTCCAGCAGGTGGCGTTTACAGAACTGCTGTAATAATGGAGTTTCCTTGGTTTTTCTAATACAATCATAATTTATACACAAGTGCAAGTCAACATAGGGCTGGGCGATATTACAAAAAATTATCACGATATGTTTCATATCATTCGATATTAATAATTATTGAATTTTTAAAAAAAATCCATTTAGAAATTAGGATTTTTTAACCACCTTATTTTAACTTGCTAACATTACTATGGCAGAACGTTTTAATAGTCAAAAACAAAAATAAACAAAATATCTGATCTCTTAATGATAAAATAAACAAGTGCTAAAGACACTCTAAAACTTGATCAATAAATTATTACAAAGTGTGTGCAATAGGGCTGGGCGATGTTGACCAATTTGGCATCGTATGATGTCTAATGTGAAACATTGCGATGGACGATGCCATCGTCATCGTAGGCAGGGGGTGGAGGTGGTTGTTAAATATCAATTAATTTATAACGAATTAATTAACTGTAGCCAACCATTTTCACTACCTGACCCACATGGTCTTTGCTTTACCCATAACCAAACCATAAATAATTAAAGTTACAAACAAATAACCACCTGTCAATCACTTTTTCCGCGGGACTGGGACATGAATAGGGCAGTGATCTGTGTTGATCTAATGGCTTTTCCCACAGCTGGTGGAGGAGACGAGAGTTCGGTTCGAGATCACTGTAGTGCATACATTTTCATAGTTTTTACTGCCAAAATTCTCACCGCATGCACTGATTTAGGAGACATTTATGCAGAATGCATCTTTGTACCTAAAAACACCAAACGCAGCACTCAGGAACAGATTAAAAGAGTTGTTATTAGAACTTTCTGAAGTAAAAAAAGCCCACAATGCTTGCCCCGCCTTTGTGCTCTTCTTATTGGCTCACTGCACTAGAACTGAACACGAATGATTGGTAAATATCAGCTGTCAATCACTCAGTCAATGCATTCTGCCTTCAGATGACAGGAGCTACAACCGCGAAAATGTGAAACGCTGAAGATGAAAGAATGAAAACAACACTGAAAGGTTTACCTAAAGTTACTAATAATGGCACATCTGCTTAGTGATCATCATGTGCTGAATGTTAATCCAGCATTTACACTTTTTCAAGAGTGGATAAAATACTTCCAGTGGATTCAAGTCTGCTATGAAAATGACTAAAGCCATTCACTGTAAAGTCTGTGGGACAGGGTTTGCAGGTAACAGCGTTTGCCACAGAATCTACACATTTTAAGCGCGAGAGGTAATGTTACTGTATAATCCTTCATTTAATCCTCACGATGCTGTCAGCCGTGCAAGCGGCAGCTATATGTAACATTTAACAGCTTATGAAAAGACCGATAGTATTGTTAAGATGACATGCAAATAATAAGTTATACCAATCTAAATGTGGGGCGGGTGATGGATCGCGATGTCGGCTCAGCATCGTGAAGTTTGTCGGCCATCGGTGATGGGCGATGGCATCGTCTATCGGCACAAACCTAGTTGTGCAATGGTAAAACGTAAATACCGAACAATCAAAGCAAACTTAAAGTAGATCAACATCTGTAAGGTATGAATAATAATACAGTAAACCCAAAACTCTGCAACAACTAAATATTTGCTATTTAATATTTAATTGAACTATCAATTGATCAACAAATCACTATTAGTTTCATTTGTTTTTGTAACGCTCAAACTATAGTGACCGCACCCTACAGCAGGGGTGTCCTAACTCGGTCCTGGAGGGCTGGTGTCCAGCAGATTTCAGCTCCAACCTGAAGGGATGTTTCCAGAAAGCCTAGTAAGAGCTTGATTAGCTTTCCAGGTGTGTCTGATGGGGGTTGCTTGGAACTAAACTTAACAGGACACCCCTCCCCTGTTTAGACACCCCTCCCCTACAGTATAGTAATAATCAATATATAATATTTGCTGAAAGACGCGTTTTTAAAGTTTGTTGTCTACAGAAATTGTTCATTTTTAAAAATTGCCATTTAATAACAAATAAACGAATCCACAAAGAGAATAATGACAGCTTTCTTGTATCAGTTAGCTTTACTATTAGTTTGTTTACACCCATAAATCAAGTAAAGCATCAGGGGGTATAATAAAAATGTGGATAGAGTAAAATAGCAAATAAGCTGTAAATCTGACATCATCATCATCATCAATTGGACAGATTCAACCGAGACAAACATTAAATGAAATCCCTGACCCGTAAAAATATAGGGCGACAGCAGAGAAGACGTGCACGGTCTGGGCCAGAATGAGGTCAATTCAATCAATCAGTGCTGGACTGCGAGTGTTCATTACTACATCACTCTCTCTCTCTCTCTCACACACACACACACACACACACACACACACACACACACACACACACACACACACACACACACACACACACACACACACACACACACACACACACACACACACACACACACACACACACACACACACACACACACACACACACACGTTGAGGCTCAGATGGGACAGCAGAGGTGGTTGTTCTAGTTAATCAAGCAGAGCAGGACTGCCAAAATTAGTCATTTCATCCTTCAAATGCACAAATAATATGATTGTCGCAGAGTCACATTGACATTCTGGGAAAGTCAAGAGTCGAAACAATGGAGGAATTTCCACTACAGCACATGAAGAATAGGACTAATTATAACCTATATACCATAGTGTTGATAATTGTGTTAGTATTTTTCTTGTAATTCATACACGCAAAGGTTGTAAAATGGTCCATTTATTTGTTTGCGTGTAGTATTTTGTAAATAACTCATTTGGTTTACTAGATCTCAAGGTTTTAGTCAGAGCTGTTTTCTGTTGATGCATGAACTAAACTTCAATGCATGTGTTATGCGTGCTATCAAATGATCATAGTAAGCTTAGTTATAGTCTCAACTTTTAAATTTTGGTGAATCATCCTTTTCTTTACTCATTCATTGCTCTAAATAAACTTAAATGAACATCAGAACATAATGTTGAAAAACAAAGAACAGCTTACTGAAATGTTCCATGTTGATGCAATCAATACATCAATCAGTCAGGAATTCAGACACATGTAAAAGTCAATAAAACAGCTTGTAAACATTAGCTCTTTTATCCCAAGATGCAAATTAATTTTATGCACAAAACTAACGCTCTTGACAGTTCTGGAGGCCATTATAATAATATAATAACACTAATACTGAAATGGTTCAGGCGTTTAAGAATGATAAAGACAACATTTCAGATGTTTTACAATGTGCTCAGCCTGCTGGTTTGTCCATTCATGCATGTTTTAATCATCACATGATCTCTTATAACAAAATCTCATGCCTTTTTTAATGTGCACGCTAAAAATTTTTCGTTAAAAGTGTTTCCATCAGTTTATGCGCATCTTTTATCGAATAAAAAAAGTTTATCCTACTCAGTCATGAGCATGTTTTTTATGCTCATTTTCATAAATTAAGCACATCTTGACATTTCCATCCAATAGGGTCTGGCTGCAGATTTGCACGCCCAGGCAACTGCGTTTTCTCTGCAAGTGTCGTCATTTACAACGGCTTGCATGAAAGTCCTTTGGTAATTTAACTTAAGGGTGTCCCTGAGGCCCCTTATCGAGTCTATCTCGACATTATGTTTGGAGGACCTATAAAACTGGTCTGGGATCATGTAGGGACCGTTGAAGCTGCACTGCAACTGTGATTTCATATGGATGCACTCCTGCGCAGACGTGCTAACTTATCAAGAATACTTATAAAGAATAGTTTTCCAAGTCGTTCAAGAATCATTGCTGTAAGTCCATAATGTGTATCTGTTAGTTGTACAACTCCTTGAAATGTTCAAAATAAAAACTAATTCTAATTGGCCTGGTGTTTTTTTCAACTGTGGAAGAATACCTTGCATGTACATTTAGACCTCATAGATGATATTAATAAATAATAAGCTTTGCTGGTATGAATGTTAATAGCAGCCTGCTTTGGTAAATTTACATCAAAGCATTTAATCAAATGATGAATATACTAACTGCTTTTTAAGGGGGAGGGGGTGTGCATGTCATGTTGTACAACGCAAGTAGGCTACTTGCAATTAATACAACGTCAACGTAGTCACTGTAAATGCAAACGAACTGGAAACGTACTTTTGGTTTATTTGTGTTGATTTCAAGTGACAGGTGAAGGTGTCGATTGTGATGACGTCACTTGCATAAGAATCATAGGTGGATGGAAAGTAGCTATTGTCATTTTACATTTACCTCTGGAAAGCCCTGCAATTTTATATCTTGTTAGTTGGTGAGAAAACTGGCTAGAAATGGGAATTTAATTTGCAGCGTATTACACATGCACTATAATTAAAAAGAATCTGTTAATGATTACTTATTTAATGCATGTTTGTATGAAGTGGTCTTTACATAAATGTTACAGGCATTTAAATTTTAAAATTAACAACAAATTCAATAGAAATCCTAAAAATCCTAAATATTTTTACAA